GTCAACTCCCTGAAAGGGGTCTGGCGTAGCGATAATCTACCTGAAACCAGGGCGAAAAGGGAAAGGTCGATTTTTGGCATTTTGTTACTCCCTGGAAAAATCCCATAACTCAGCCCCTATAGGCATTCGGCAAACCTCGACAGATTCTACGCATCTAATCTCGGCTGTATGACCATTTCCGACATATTTGAACTATTTTAAAGGTTCCGAATGAAAAATGACTGCCCCCATGGAGATTTCTGTGGAGAGTGTATTATATCAACAAACGTCACGTTTGGCATTGGGTTTGGGGAATTACCAGGGAATTTTATCAAACCAGCAGCCTTGAGACAATATCTCTGCTCATTTAGGTATATACACTCTACAAAAGACGCAATTTGGGACTTTTTGTAAAAGCGACACGTTTTCCTGTTTAAAGTAAAAAGGGTGTGGCAGTTTCAGATGGTCCCTGGTGTGTGATTACCGTTTGGCGCATGCGCAGTTGTAGGAGTCACCTCACACCGTTACAGACGCGGTGTGCATTGACTCCTCGTGATAGGATTTCCCCTAAGATGTTCTTACGGTCAAATCAATATATTATAGACTATTATATATTTACAATATTACCACTAAGAGAGGATGCAAATTGACGATCTTTATTATTATTATTTAGTTTATATACCCGTCCACAATGCGAACATTCTCTCTTGTATTTGGGCTGTCTACATGCATGTTTGAATGTACGTATGGGATGGTGTAATAAATCTATATTTATGTTAAAGAAATCGGAATAAGAAATTCCATACTTTTATATTTGTGTTAAATGAAGCCACGAAATATCAAAGGCCTTAATCTTTCCCTTGGAGGTGAATTAATTGATAATTTCAAGCCAATCATCAATTTGTATGGTTTCCACTGATCGTACGTGTGTAGAACGACTAATCACTAAAATAAAACAACGGCAACAAATAACGAACGAAGTATCAATTTCAAGCCAATCAACTTAGATCCGTTGATCGTGTAACTACTGATCGCTAAAACAACAGCTAATCACGTCAACAAGTATTTTATTAATGACAAAACTCTAATCAAGTACATGATATATTTTTTCCTGTACTGACCAGTGGTCAGGAACCAACTCACACTGCAGGAAGTAGATATAGTTTCGTTGTTAAGGCAAACATCAGTTTCGGACATGCGCAAGTGCCCAGGAGAAAACACACACCAGGAGTCAACTCAAACTATCACACCGGCAGCCGCATCGCAAATGTATGGGCGTAGGTACATATCACTTACTGTCATACAGCCGAGATTAGATGTAGGGTAACGGAATCTGTCGAGATTTTCCGAGTGCCCCTATAGGTAGTAGGTCAATATAATTTGGAGGGTTCCCGGTAGGGGTCCATGGGCAAGTGCTCATTAAAACTGGGCACGATCGGCCCCCGGGGGTTTTGTTTATTAAAGTTGTCCGGTAAAACTCGAATTAAGGGTAGGTAAGTGTCGGATCCGTACACTACTCGACCTAATCCCCCTAGTTGGTTTTGGGCAAAATTTTCTGCCTTTTTCTGAAGGATAAGAGTGTTAGCCCGAATTCAAGGACAATATTGGTTTCAGTCATTATCACATATGTGATAGAACTGGTTTAACACGTTACAAATATAATTTTAACACAGAGATCATTGCTACGGAAGTGACGAACGCAAAAGGAAAACACGAGTTATCCTTCTATATAACTGACTGAAGTGACGAGTGATAACAGATACACGGGCGAATTTCTGCACACTAATAATTCCTTCGAAGGACAAAAGTTGTTATATGTGACTTTGAGAGGATATCAGACAATTCAAAACAGAAATTGATTGTCACTAGAAAAGAGAAAAAGTCCGTGCATTACCATGTTTTTATTATTATAGAAGGAATAAAAACTAGTGAATGTACGGACTATTTCTATTTTCCTCGTGTTTTCGAAGAGACAAAGGGAGTTTCTCGATGATAATTGTTTGAAAATGGCAAGACGTGATTTTCAATTCCCAGAAAAGTGAATACGGTCAAATCTCTGATAGAAATGCGGTCGTTTTCGACCATTTTTTGCATTGAAATGATAAGGCGCCCGCCCTAATTTCGTAATTTACAGAAAATGAAATCGGATTCAATTTAGGAAATGACACGAGGGGTATCTCGATGATAATTGTTTGAAACTGAGAAGACGCGTTCTTCAATTCACAGAAAAATGTATACGGTCCAATCTTTGATATAAATGGGATCGTTCTCTGATTTCGGAAAGACAAGGAGAGTTTATCAATGATTTTTGCTTAATGAGAAGACGCGTTCTTCAGTAAATAGAAAATTGAATAAGGTCAAATCTCTGATAGAAAAGGAATAATTTTCAACCCTTTTATCGTCTTGAAATGACAAGGCCCACACGCCGTGGTTTCGTAATTTACTGAAACTGTAATTTTGGCTAGAAATGGGGCGCTTCTCAATGTTCTTCTCAAGGTTCTCTTCAATTAACAGAATAGTGAATATAGTCAAATCTCTAATAGAAATGGGTTCGTTTTCAACCATTTTGTGTATTGAAATGAAAAGGCACACGCCGTAATTTACCGAAACTGGAATCATGTTCAATTTTGGATAGAAATGGTGTCTTTTTTCAATTATTTGTACATGGAAATTACTCAACGTTTCCCGCTTCATAAGTGCAATTATGAACAATAATATGTTTTTTTGTGGGTTTTTTTTCTAAGAAATCTATAGGCGTGTCCCTAACCCATAGCAAATGGAACTGGGTGCAATTTCGAAAAGACAAAGGAAATTTCTCAATGGTTTTTGTTTGGAAATGAGAAGACGCATTCTTCAATTACCAGAACAGTGAATACGGTCAAATTTCTAATAGAAATGGGGTCGTTCTCCAATTTCGGAGAAAAATGGGTGAAGTTTGCTCGTATTTTGGAATCGTTTTAAATACTCTTTGAATCTTTGATTGGAAATGAGTTGAGACCTTCTCCAAAACAAACAAGATTGAGTTATGTCCAGTTAATATAATCTTTGAATCTTTGATTGGAAATGAGTTGAGACCTTCTCCAAAACAAACAAGATTGAGTTATGTCCAGTTACGGGTAGAAATGGGGTAGTTTTCAATGCTTTATAAGAAGCCAACGGTCAGGGGATTTTGTTTGGGGGTGTTTAGCCAAAATGCGACCGACTGATGCATACCCCCAGTACGAGTGACGCAGTCATGAGCCGCGCACCACAGGTGCGAGTTTTCTAGGGGCCATGTGCAGAGCGGATCTAGAAGCTGGGAATAGGGGATGGGGTGGGGGTGGTTCCAAATCTAGGGCGCCATCCATAATCCCACCCCACAATGAATGTCAACAAAATACGGGCTATAACATTAAGGGTCCCAGTAGAACATAGACAGTATTGTATAATTATATGTTCGCCGATCGTTGTCTCGCCGGAAAGCAGTTTTATTTAAAGTAACTAAGTCTGTAACTCAATATCATTCAAAATCTTCAACATTGAAAACACGATTTATTTGTCAAATTAAATCGACATTCATGTTGTGATCTTACCGGAAAAAGATGGGCTTTTGATATCCAATATTTAAGACAAAATAAACATTTTACCATTGGTACACGAATCGTGTACCATAATGCGCTTCAGCCCCAGTTGTATCAAGAGACTCGAGGGACGAGGCTAGACACATTGCACCAAATCAAACGGCTTATGTAGACTGGAATAACCAGACGCTAGAAATTTGCACTCGCTTGAGACAGCTGGCTTATTTCGCCGAACAAAACTGATTTGAAATTGGAGTAAAAACGGAAACCATTGAATGTAAATCAGTTTATATACATTCATATTACAGTATTATATGCGTTGCGACCCACTTTTGTCAATTTCTAGGTCCCAAATGTTAGCGATTTAGCTCCTTTAAGTTGACATAAAGTTTATGTCATATATGATGATTGTGCCTATAACACTGAGCAACCTCAGAAAATTTTGAAAATTGAGTCAATATCCTAGCATTTGAGGTCATTGCTTGGAGAAAGTCTTGTCGACGAGAGGACCAGAAATGTGAGCCAATGGGACAGAACTGCCCCTGTCAATTCCGACTGTTTTGCAAGAAATGACATAACTTTTGTATAGTCTGACGCCCCATGACCCACACACCAGTATAACTGGGCAGTTCACTATAACACAGAATAAGAGTGAAACACAACATTTTTTTAAACATGGTAAGTTGACAAGGTTATTTTATACTAAAATTTTGCGACTATTTTTCTTCCTGGGGGGGGGGGGGGCACATTTACGCCCCTGCCAACGGTTGTCCAGGTCACAAAAGTCCAGTCCAATTTTGGATAGAAATGGAGTCACACCCTTCACCTTCCACCGTTGAGCGATGTCGCTCCCAGTATTTTACATTAAATGTCTGCTAGTCGCAGTTGCTCAGTGAGTAAGACTGGCTCGCTAACCTGGATTTCCGTCGTAGTTCCCCATTGTCAGTGGTGTAGGACAGGGGGCCTGACGAGGGACAATGTATAGTCGTTTGGATGGAACGAAAAACCGAGGTCCAATGTACACATTGGCGTGCACGTAAAAGAACCCTTGACAGTTGGAATTCAATATAAGTGTAGGCCATAGTGCCGCTACCCGGGCAAAATCAAAATGTCCTTAGCACACTGCATGGTGTATTCCTGCCTTCATTAGTCCAGTCGAAGCAGAACAGTAGGAGGTTAAACCCCATTTCATTTATCCTTGCCTATACAACCCGCTTAGCGTGGTCATTTAAATACCAGTATACACTTTTTAGTGAAACCAATGTTGAGCCGCATCTCTCCCATATAAGCAGCATCATAAATTATATGCGTTGAGTGTGTTGTCAAATTATATGCTGTTTGTGAAATCAATCCTGGATTCTAATGAACAGGTTTTAGGCCAGCTACAAAATTTGGTAAAGAAAAAAATTATATTTATAAATTTATATTTATTTCCATATTAAAATACTACGTTCACTTGAATTTAAATATATGTTAAGATTAATTTTAATATAAATATACATTTAGTTCCACATCATAATAAAAATTATATCAAAATTTTTTAAACCACAAAAGAAACGGTTTAATTGACATTTTTAAAGTACTTTTCGCTGATCTGGTCAGAAATAATGTCATTGTTTTTACATTTAGTTCATTGTTAACATAATTACGTATTAAGTTTAATATTAACATCATATCACATTCAGTTACAAATTAAATTCTAAAAATAAGCTATTTATTAGAATCATATTCATGAAATCACTAGAATTAAAGTCATCAAGATGTCTTGAATTTATGTGATCACTCGCTCAAAGAATTATATTCACAGAATGACTCGAAGAACAATATTCAGTATCAACAGAATCACTAGAATAAAAGTCATCAAGATGTGCTGATCAGATTCATGTGATCAGATGTTCCAATTAGTAATACGTTGGGCAGTTCTTGCTTTCATTTGATTCTGGTGGATTATTGATGCTTGACAAACTGATCATCTGTTGACTACCATTTTACATCTAGTGTTTTTTCTAGACGATTTATGTTTCTTTTTACACTGTAATTAGATATGATATACATTTTACTTGCTTTTTTAAAACAACACCTTAAACATCAATTACAAATATATGATTGATGGAAAATCGATAAGGCTCATCCTAAAATACAAAGATTGGCCCTGCAGCGTCGAAATAAATGTTAGGTGGGTTTATAAAAACTAAAAAAAAGATAAGGTTTAAAACATAGTTTAAAACTAGTAACTGTGAAATTTTTATTTTGTCTCTTTATGTTGAGAGCATCCTGAAGATCACAATAAACAACCACAACTAATTGGTGCCTTATTTCATCATAACCATTATCAGTGACGTCATAACCATTATCAGTGACGTAACATATTTATTTCGGCATGAGATGTGCGATCCGGCAGACGTAACTAACACGGCAGTGGCAATGTGGTCTGTAAATGATATACATGTACATGTATGTCATGAATTAGGCCCTTTCACTGGTCTGTATAACTATTTTCCAGCCGAATATGCCTATATGGCGTCACACAGTGTCAACGCATTAATTCATTTCTTTTAACGCGTTAATCTCATTTATACGTTAACCAGTTAATAAGTTAACTGCTCTCAGCTCTGGGAATAGCTGTTTGGTCCCTGTTTTATTATTTTCCCACTTGTTGGTTTGATGATGTTACCTTTGTTGCCGTCCCTTGTGCTCTGTTTCCAATCCAATTTCGAAAAAAATACCCATTTTTTATCCTGAAAAACATAAAAATATTCATGGCGTTCCTTTCTAATAATGTATCACTGGCATTTACTTTGATGATTTTTTATATTTGTTTATGGACAGAAATGGATTAAGATATTGAATCAATACTCTTAATGGATACATTTGGAGAAGAGAGAGAGAAATGGGATTTAATGTCCACTCGCCACAAACTAGGTCATTTCGGGACTAACACATAGTTCAATTTTATTTCAACAATTCGCTTGCACGTTACGTGTCGTAGGGGCTTTAGCAGTGGGAGGAAACCGGAGGACCTGGAGAAAACCCACGATGTTGAACAGGCGACGCTACTCCTTGCCACATACAACCGGGGAATCGAAAACCATGCTAGTTGACTCAATGACAGACAGGGATCACGTGGGTAAGGCGCTGGCTCGCTAGCCTGGGGGTTGGGTGTTCGATCCCTGCATTGGCCGAGAAAGTTCATCTCAATTTTCCGACAGCTGCCTAGTCGTTCGGATGGGACAAAAAAACGAGGTCCCGTGTACACATTGGCGTGCACATAAAAGATCCCTTGGCAGTTGTAATTCGATATAAGAGTAGGCCGTAGCGCCGCTGCCCGGGCAAAATTTCCTCATAGCACACTGTATGGCGTATGCCCGTCTTCAATTAGCCCAGGTTAGATGTTAAACCCCATTTCATTTCATTTCATTTCAATGGCAGACCTTATGATAACTATATATATATATATATATATTTTACTTAAAACTGAAGCTAGTATAGTGCTATACCTTGACTTCACACATATTTTGGATAACCCAGTCTCCCCTCCGTATCCCACCTACTGTCTAGCCAAAAGTATAAAAAGTTTTGAGTTTTGAATTTTTGTTTTTGTGTTGTAGGGGGTGTACACAATGAAGACATTTCTATAGCTGACATACATTTATTATTTTCCAGATACATCTATTTATTCATAAATAAAGAACACGCTTCTTTCTTAGAAGTATCGGGAGTTCTCTCCCCTTGATTCCCAAAAAGGGAAAATACTCTCATTTACAGCTGGACTAAGACTAGTAATTATTTCCCCTTATGAGTTATAAATAGACAATTTTTCCCTTAATTTTTTTCTCCCCTCTTCCTGCATTTTTGGGTTGACTTTTTGGTCTAGAATTGGAGAAAATGGATCAAATTTGCAATTTCATAGCAGTTTTGGGTAATACTGATGATATTACAGCGGAGGGATAGGGGGTGTAAAGTGTCTTTCTGCAGAGCAATCATTGTGTCGGAAGTGAGATTTTCACCCCTGTCAACTTCAAATCCGTGTAGCAAAAAATCTAAATGGTCAACCCCCTACACAATTATGATGAGGAGATTGCCAAATGTTGTCCCCATTGTGCCTATAAAGATTGGAACCAACGGAATGTTGAGCAAAAAGCTACAGCCTGTGATGTTACAGTCATTTAACATTGAAGTCAATGGGCAAATAATTGCTAGTCTGAGTCCTGATGATATAAAGAAGCATGGCCGACTCGGGATGTTGATATTTTTTCAACGGCTTATTTCCTGAAGTTTTGAATGGAAAGTGTCAGAAATGGTAAGAATACTGCTTTTTTATTGCCCAGCAGTAATTTTTTTGACTATTTGGTATCAAAATAGCCATGATTGGGGGTATCCGTTGGTTGAGTGTGAATTTTGGGTTGTAAATGTGTAACATTTTGTTCACAATGAGACTTAGCCTCTCCCCCCAAATTCTTAAACCTAACCCACAATCTTGTCAAAAAGCATGTACCCTAGGCCTAAGCCAAGACCTAGTCCTGACCCTAGCCCAAACCCACAATTGTGTCAAAAAATCATGTGCCCTAACCCTATTTACATGTTGCGACCTTGAACCAAGTCTGCAGTTGGCCTTAACATTTAGACCTAACATGTTTTTGACATCATACAATGAAATGTTAACATGTACACTCCAAAATTCACACCTGTGTGACTTTTGACCAAACATGCAGTTGGCCTTAATATTTAGACCGAACCTCAAAACATGGCATCTACCTTTGAGATTGGCTTAGACTTATGTGACACTCAAGGTTTACTTTTTTACTGCCTGTTAACTGGTTTCTTTTTGGAGGGCCAGTGACCCAGTTAACATTGATGGTTAGATTTACGTAAAGTTTACGTCATTATGGTTAGATTTTGGTTAGCGTCCAATAATGGTAAAATTCTTTGGTTAAATTTACGTTACTTTTACGTCATAATGGTTATGGTTACTTTTACGTCAGAAAATGACGTAAATGTAACGTAAACTTTATGACGGATTACTAACCAATTTTTTTCGCTTTAAATACTTCTTGATTAAATAAAATTACAAGTGTGTGCACATTCTAACAATTGATAAATAGTTGGAATTCAGACATAATAATTATATATGTATTATTGGTTATAATTCTAACGTTATTCTAACGTAAATTTTACATCAGGTTTCTAACCGTTAGTTTATGGTTAGTTTTCTGACGTAAATCTAACGTTAGTTTTCTAACGTTAATATAACGTTACTTTTATGTCATAATTTTAACCGTTAATTTAACGTTAGTTTTCTAACGTAAATCTAACGTTAGTTTTCTAACGTAAATCTAACGTTAATTTTCTAACATAAATCTAACGTTAATTTTCTAACATAAATCTAATGTTAGTTTTCTAACATAAACCTGATATTAGTTGTATAAAGTAAAACAAATGTCAGTTTAATTTCATGATACTAACAATTAAATTACTGTCATTTTTTATCCTTAGTTTTCTTACGTAAACAAATGTCAGTTTAATAACATGAGCACCATTTGTAATGAACCGACTCGATGAAGAAGGCTAACCATATCCCACAGGAGAATACTGGTGTGGACTAGAATAAGCAGACGCCAAAGACTGTCATTCAATTTGGGCTTTTTGCATATTTTGTCGAACATAATTGATTAAAATATACAGTAAAACCAGATAAGACTGAACTTTATTCAGTTTATATACATTCATGTTATATTATTATATGCCTTGCTACCCATTTTTGTCCATTTCCAGGGGCCCAACAATAGAAATGAAATGGGGTTTAACGTCCTACTGTTCTGCTCCGAACTGGGCTAATGAAGACGGGCATGTGCCATACAGTGTCCTATGAGGGACATTTTGCCCGTACAGCGGCACTACGACATACTCTTATATCGAATTCCAACTGTCAAGGGATCTTTTACGTGCACACTAATGTGTCAACAGGACCTCAGTTTTTCATCGGATCCGAACAACTAGACAGGTGTCCTTATCAGGCCCTACGTCCCGCATCACTTTCTCGGCCAATGCAGGGATCGAACCTTTTAACTCCTTTAAGAATTTCAGCCTGTAAGCGACACATAAAGAGAAAAAGGAATGAATGAATGACCTACTCTCATTTCGAATTCCAGCTGTCAAGGTTTCGTTTACATGCACATGCAACATGAGCACAAGATCTTGATTTTTTGTCCTATTTGAAGGACTAGACACTGTCCTACATTACAAACAAGGGGAAAATTCTATACCAGGATCGGACCCCTCGTTAGTTAGCCAGTGTGTTAACTTGAAAGTTAACCATTAGCCATTCAACCACGCCAGTGTGCTACAAGGGAGTTTTATCCGGACAGCTGTGCTAAGGCCTACTCATATATTGAGTTCCAACTGTCAGGGGATCTTTAACGTGCATGCCGATGTGTACATGGGACCTCAGTTTTTCGTCCCATCCGAAAGACTAGAAACCTGTGCAGTGCACAAACACATTCTCCTTATTATTCCTGTCTGTGACTACAGTAACTTGATATTGTACACATTGGAGTGCACGTAAACGATCCCTTGGTAGTTGGAATTCGATATAAGAGTATTCTGTTGTGCCGCTGCCCGGGCAAAATTTCCCTCATAGCACACTGTATGGTGTAGGCCCATCTTCATTAGCCCGGATCAGGAGCAGAACAGTAGGATGTTAAACCCCATTTCATTTCATTTTGTGTACATGGGACCTCAGATTTTCGTCCCATCCGAACGACTAGACAGCTGTCCTTGTCAGGCCCTCTGTCCTGCAACACTGCCAAGCAGAAACCACATCGGAAAATCCTGATGAACACTGGCCAGTCAGTGGCTCCGGGGTCATAAATGTAGTGCCACAAAAAAAAAATTTGCAGTTCACAAACACATTCTCCTTACTATTTGAGTCTGTGACTACAGCAACTTGAAAGTAGTCCAATTAATAGCCTTTTTTATGTGGTTTTGCAATCGAAATCAAACCTGAGAGGGAAAACAAATAATGATAATACATGAAAAAGTGTGGCACCATCCAAAGGGAGAGTGAGAATGAAATGGGGTTTAACATTCACTCGACACACACTAGGTTATTTCAGGACTAACCGTAGGGGTCTTTAGCAGTGGGAGGAAACCGGAGCACCCAGAGAAAATCCACGGGGTTGGACAGACGTCTCTACTCCTTGTCATATTCAACCCGGGAATGGAACCCATGCCAGTTGACTCAATGACATACCTTATGATACAACACGCATGCGCTAAATCGATGGACACACTAGCCGAATCGTTCGGCTGAATGGGTGGACACACTAGCTGAATGCTTCGCCCGATTCAACCTGTCGGTTGCATCACCTTTCACGTCACATGATTAAACATGGCGGCGTCTGTGTCTTTAATCTATCATGTGACTTCTCGATATGAGTGGTGATTGGCTAATGAATTCTATATTCGGCCGAATGCTTCGGCGAAGCGAACACACCAGGCGAATATAATTGATTCGGGCGAATTATTCGGCCGAATGACAGTGGACACCGAATCATTCGGCTAGTGTGTCCACCGCCTAACCATTTGTCCATCCGACCCTCCGCCAGTGCGTTACCAGGGAGTTTTGTCTGGACAGGAGTGCTAAGGCCTACTCTTATATTGAATTCCAACTGCAAGGGGATCTTTAAGTGCATGCCAATGTGTACATGGGACCTCAGAGAGAATGAAATGGCATTTATCATCAACTCGACACAAACTAGGTCATTTCTGGACTAACATATATAGTTTAATTTTATTTCAATAATTCGCGTGCCCGTAGGGGTCTTTAGCAGTGGGAGGAAACTGGAGGACCCAGAGAAACCCATGAAGTTTGACAGGCGACCTTACTCCTTGTCATGTACAACCAGGAAATCGAAACCACGCCAGTTGACTCAATCATACCTTATGATACAACGCGCACACGCTAACCATTTGGCCATCCAACCTCGCGCCAGTGTGCTACAAGGGAGTTTTGTTTGGACAGCAGTGCTCAGGCCTACTCTTATATTGAATTCCAACTGCCAGGGGATCTTTTATGTACATGCCAATGTGTACATAAGACCTCAGTTTTTCGTCCCATCCAAACGACTAGACAGCTGTCCTTGTCAAGCCCTCCGTCCTGCACCACTGACAAGCGGAAACCACGTCGGAAAATTCTGATGAGCTTTCTCAGGCAACACTGTGAGCGAACCTGTGACCTCCAAGCAAGCCAGCCAGTGTCTTATTCACTTAGCCACTGTGGCAAAGGGGTCATAAATATAATTCCACAAAAAAACCTGTGCAGTTCACAAACACATTCTCCTTACTATTCGAGTCTCTGTGACTACAACAACTACTCGAAAGTAGTGCGAACTGTAAATTTTATTTTGTTAAACCATCGTAAGAAAAGAAACATATTGAATATGCTTGTCAATATTCTTTCTCTGTCAGAGCAGCTAAAAGGTGAAATTGTCTTCCAAAAACTCTTTGTGAGTCCTCTTCCATCCAAAACTTAAAAAAAAATTATTTCAAAAATGGTGTTGAGAGAGAGAGAGAGAAATGGGGTTTAACGAGAGAGAGAGAGAGAGAGAAATGGGGTTTAACGTCCACTTGACACAAACTAGGTCATTCGGGACTAACATATAGTTTAATTTTATTTCAATAATTTGCTTGCACGTAGGGGTCTTTGGCAGTGGGAGGACCCGGAGAAAACCCATGAGGTTGGACAGGCGACCCTACTCCTTGTCACGTATAACCGGGGATTCGAAACCACGCCAGTTGACTAAATGACAGGTCGTCGCCATTCGGCCATCCAACCCCCCAAAAATGGTGTTGAAATGGGTGTTTTTGTGAATGCGCTTAGAAATACTCATGTGTAATGAAGTGCAATAATTGAACCATAATAATAATATAGTAGGCCTAGTGGACTCCTCCGTCTCATTTTGGTTGAATGTTTGGAAATTTGATGGCTAATTAGATTTAGGACACTCTGGCATATTTTCTAGGCTTGGCTTCATGTGGCCTGTTTTCCATGCATACAAGAATTAACCAATTAGAAGTTAAACAAAATAAAATCTGCTCCAAAATATTACAATACTTTTTTTTATTTCATTGCCCAAAACACCTTTACAGCCTGAATGTTAATTTTGGGGCAGCGTTTAACTGCATGGGTGGTAATTGAATTTATTAAATTGACTAACTTTTGCACAATAAGTAAATATAAATTATCTTAATACCCCAACTCAGACAAGTTAGTGGCCTTTCCAACCAATTTAAATTCGGTCAAAATTTGTAGAAATTTAGATATTATTTTATTGCATGTGTGTACAATTTGTTATGTGTCTAAGCTCTGTTACCACAAAAAATATATTTAATTTAGTCCTTATAGTAGATTATGTCACACGTTTGAAAGTTGTCCAACGGTCGAATAAATATGTTGTAGTTTGACCTAGATAAATATAAGACTGGGAAAATAAATATAAAAAAAATTCCGACATCTTAAAAGTAGATACCTGTATTCGCAATGGAAATATTATTTTAAAAATCGGGATTATTTAATTTGATACAACTGAATAAAATGGCTCTAGTCGATCTATTTAAAAAAACATCAACCAAATATACGAGTTTGGCTACTGCCAGTGCAGTACTGCATCCGTCGTGATCCGAATAAAGCTGTACGTATGTATATTATATCATGTGCATGCTTAAAAAAAGGCCTCTGAATCATATAATAATTTCTTCAATTTTACTATTCATAAGCCTAAAATATTACGTAGTTATAGACTATATATAAAATATTGAAGTGCGTAGGCCTACAGTTGATAGTCGCATAGACTCCGTTATCTACGTATATGATATATGCCGCCATTTTGGGTCAAGGTCAAGATAAATTACAGTCAATACAAATGAATAACTACATCGATAGATTATTAAATGTAATTTCTATTAACTGATTTCAATGTTAGGTGGTCTATGTTTGTTGTCTTTTTCAGTATATTGTCCACATTGATTAAACTATCATTATTAAAATCATTTTGATTCTTCTATATTTGTACGTACTTTTTTACAACTCTGAACCCGGAAGCGAGGTATTCTGGGAAGGTTATTTTAAAGATGGCGGGCGTTTTGGAATTTATTCGTGGAGTGCATGAGAAATGTTCAATATACAGCTACTTGGATTACACAAACAGAGAAAGATAGATTATACCAGTTAAATTGAGAGGTTTTATTTGAAAGTAAGTTTTTTCTTATATCCCCGACTGCTGATATACACGTATACTGAGACTACAAATTCAGCGATATGAAAAGAACTTACAATACAATGTAATAGTAGTAAAAATACTAATAAATACTATTCACACAGATGTAAAATTATTTCTGTCCTTATTTTTCTAATTTTTCACCGTAATTCTTACTTCTGTAAGACGCCAGGTTACGAAACAGTTTGCTTTTGTGAAAAAAAAAATTACTATCAGGTTATTACTGTACACATTTTCATTTTTACTTAATTAATAATTACTTAGACCTTTTGGACTAAAAAAAAATATGTCCTCACTACTCAACGCTGCAGGCTTTGGCACATGACATTTTTACTTTCATAGCATTGGCAACACTTTAATCTCAATCTTCTCTGATTCTAAATAGCAGAAATATAGCAAATTCTTCTGTAACACTGTAATCAACCAGAACGTAATTCCAAACTTGACGTCTCCCCCTTGGACCCCGGCTGCTATTGCTTTTCATCAAAAATCTACCTGCTGTGCATAACTAAAGTTGACTTTTGAGCGCACGACAGAGAGTCTGGAGAGGGCCAACGCTAGTCTCTGCAGGCTGGGGCCAATGTACAGTCTTTCGAATGGGACAAAAAACCAAGGTATTTTGTACACATTGAATGATAATTTAAACCTAATTTCATTTTGATTTTGGAGTATAAAAGTTGCTTTAATTGAATTTTTTTTTGTTTTTTTTTTACAGATCCTATATTTGAGCACCATTCATGGCAGTCATGTCGAAGAAGTTATAAAAAGGTTGATAAGGGCTTTGTATATGGAAGCTAGATGACATTACTACTTATCATACACAACTATTTGTCACATACCGACTTGGGATTGAAACCAAGCGACTGAACTCAATAACACTCCTCAATAACACTCGTCTATGAAACCACCCAGATGGCAAAGAAATAAAGACTTTTTAATTATGTACCGAACTCATATATGTATCTATGGTAGCACAAAATTCACCAGAATGTAGGCCAAAGCTTTACTTTACAAGCAGTAGGCTTAAAATATTTTCCGTCTGATCTTGTAAGAGTCAATTGTTTATGAATAGTTTGCCTCAAGCAGATATCCTGTCACTGTGTCACAGTATCATATAACCGCTCTTTGGCTTGAACTGAGTTGTATCAGTGAGTTGAAAATCTACTGCAGCCAGTATATTAGATTCAAAATTCTAACGAGCTTTCGTCTAACTTCTACTTCTGTTCATGTATTTTTTAACTTCTATTCATGTAATTTCTAACTTCTATTCATGTATTTTGTTAAATTAAGACAATGTATAATCCAACTTCTTTATTTGTTCAGTGTAAATTTTAATTCTATTCCATCTTATTTCTATTATTTAGACGAAAAACGTCTTCTTAATTTTTACACTTCTGCCTAGCAACCATCATTATGAAGTCATTTGGTGTCGCCACTGCGTGCTCATTTTTGGTGATTGCGCACCTGGTCGGGACCATTGTGTTGATATAAACGACACATTCTTGATAAAGACGAGAGTGTCCTCGTCGAAACGTTGCTTTATATTAAACTCAGTAAGAGTTATCTATAAAATTGTACCCTGTGTTAATGTAGACCAACAGTATATAAATATTAATTGGCTCAACTTGTCTTAAAAAAAATGAACAAATGCTGTTTAGCTTGTATTTGAAATAGAAAATGAAATATAATGGGGTTTAACATCCTACTATTCTACTCCGAACTTGGCTAATACGCCATACAGTGTGCTACGAAGGAAACTTTGCCCGGACAGCGGCACTACGGAACGATTAGACAGCTGTACTTGTTAGGCCCTCCATCCTGCATCACTGACAAGGAGGAACCATGCCGGAAAATCTGGATGAACTTTCTTGACCAATGCAGGGATCGAACACCCTACCGCTAGGCTAGTGAGCCAGCGTCTTACCGACCGTATTTGAAATCGTATTTGCAAACCATACATAGATATCATGTTCAATGTTGTTTGTGGGGTTGGACGGTCGAAAGGTTAGCACGTGCGCGCTGTACCATAAGGTATGTCATTGAGTCAACTGGTGTGGTTTCGATTCCCCGGTTGTACGTGACAAGGAATAGGGTCGCCTTTCCAACCTAGTGGGTTTTCTCCGGGTCCTCCGGTTTCCTCCCATTGCTAAACACCCCTACGCGCAAGCGAATTATTGAAATAAAATTGAACCATGTTAATACCGAACCTACATGTAGTTTGTGTTGAGTGGACGTTTAACCCCATCAGACTCTCTCTCTCTCGCTCTCTCTCTCGAAGTTGTTTTCAATTTTAGCACTCCACCAAACCATTCAACTGGACTAAGAGCGAGTCGTTTGTATCAACAGAATGGTCCCGATCAGGTGCTCAATCGCCAAATTGAGCGAACGGTGGCGACACCAAACGACGTCATAATGATGGTTGCTAGGTAGAAATCAAAATTCTAAATTTGTTTACCATTCATGCTTAACATGTAAAGTGACTAGACATTTTTCGCCTTAATAATAGAAATAAGATGAAACAATTAAAATTTACACTGAACAAAAAAAGAAGTTGAATTATACATTGTCTTAATTTAGAAATTACATGAATGGAAGTCAGAAATTACAAGAGTAGAAGTAAGAAATTAGACGATAGCATGTTAGAATTTTGAATCTAATATACCGCCATAGTATACGGGGAAACTTTTTAAACCCTTACAAATTCTTCAAATTTTTGTGATAGATCAATAATAGCAAAAATCTGTGTTAAAATTATATTTGTAATGTGTTTAACAAATTCTATCACACATGTAATATTGGTGTAATTAAGTATATACCTTATTTCAATACTGGGGTATTATATCGTTGCCCTGACTGTTTGTTTGTCCAAATTAGTTTGTGATTGTGAAGGTGACAGTTTTTTATACGCTAACATTTTCATGTAGACGTATATTTTTGTAGCCCCTGTCCGTCCGAACGTCCATCGGTCCGTCCACAATTGTTTGTGGGACCGTAACTTCATGGATTATGGCCCCTGATTGTACTGAAAGTCATGTTTTCAGCTTGTGGACCCTATAGAGGTCAAAATTTTTATATGCCCACATTTTCATGTGGACGTATATTGTGGTAGCCCCGGTCCGTCCGGACGTCTGTACACAATTGTTTGTGGACACTCTACAGGTCACAATTCTTATCCGATTTTGACGAAACTTGAAATATAGGTTTATCTCCAAAAGATCTTGGTTGCTTTCGATATTGGCATGTATCTGACTGTAACTTCTTGGATTATGGTCCCTGATTGTACGAAAAATCAAGTTTTTAGCTTGTGGACCCTATAGAGGTCACAATTTTTATACGCCCACATTTTCATGTGGACGTATATTGTCGTAGCCCTTGTCCGTCTGGACGTCCATCCGTTTTTAGCTTGTGGTCCCTATAGAGGTCACAATTTTTATACGCCCACATTTTCATGTGGACGTATATTGTCGTAGCCCCTGTCCGTCCAGACGTCCATCCGTTTTTAGCTTGTGGTCCCTGTAGAGGTCACAATTTTTATTCGATTTATAAAAAAAAAACCATGTGTATATATAACCATTACACACTAAGATCTTGGTTCCTTTTCATAATCGCGCATATCCGAACGTAACTTCCTCGATTATGGCTCCTGATTGTTCGAAAAATCGCATAATCAAGGTTGAATTCGAATTTAGGGAAAATCAAAATGAAACTGCCTGACAAAATGTGTAAAAGTATGCAATATGAAGGCATTGGATACTCAAGATTTTAACTGGCCTGCAATTTAAAAATTTAATTAAAAAATGGGAAAGTGAGGCCAAGTCTCGAATATACCTGTGCCCTCATTACCACAATGCACACATCATGTCGAAACTAGAAACTGTGATAACTTGGCTCAGAATGAAGTAATTTGAATGAAATTTTCATTTTACATGTATATTATTTATTTTTGAACAATCATAGCAAGAATGGTCAGCTCTTTATCTAAATCTTACAGAAAGTATCGTTAATGTATCTTTTTCAAATTTTGTCCCCACCCCCGCAGATTGGCTGCAAAACCTGTGAACACTGCCCTATAATTTATTCACATTTGTTTCAAAGTTGGTGTGAAGCATAGATATTCAGTATTCCACAAATTTCCTTTCCAGTATTATCCCACCTAGTTCGAAAACCTTTAGCAAACGTGATAGAGGCCGTAGGGGTTTTTTTTTTGTTTTTTTTATCAAATTTGGTCAACGTCACAGTTTTCCTTTCTGATATACTGCTGAATGTGTTGGCGTATTTCCACATTTTCAAAGTTTTTCTCGAAGACCGTTTCCTAAATTGTCACCAACTTAATGCTGTGGATAAACTGTTACAATTTAAATGTCTACTTTTGTATTTTATTACATTATATATGTATTTTTTGAATAAAGTATAGATACTTGTAGTATATTTTGTTGAATAATTATGTAAGTTGTACTGGTTTTTTGGCGTTTGGTTGCAATTACATTTAGAATTCTGAATGGTTATTGATAAATACATGTATAGAGAGAAATGGGGATTAACTTCCACTCGAATCACACTGGGTCATTTTGGGACTAACATGTGGTTTAGTTTTATTTCAATATGTGACAAGGAGTAGGGTCGCCTGTCCAACCTCGTGGGTTTTCTCCGGGTCCTCCGGTTTACTCCCACTGCTAAAGGCCCCTACGCGCAAGCGAATTATTGAAATAAAAAATTGAACCATGTGTTAGTCCCGAAATGACCTTATTTGTGTTGAGTGGACGTTAAACCCGATTTCTCTCTCTCTCTCTCTTAATTCAATGACGGAACTTATGATGCAACGAACATGCGTTAACCGTTTGACCACCGAAACCTCGAGGACGAAATAGATAGAGAGAAATGGGGCCTACGATTCAGTTTCAGTTCAATAATTGTTTGCGCCAGGAGTCTTTAGCACCTCATATGGTTAAAGAAGATTTGGTTATTGGTTGACTGAATTTTACAATTACAACCACCAATAATAGATTATATTAAAGGTTTTAATTGCTCATTTGACATTAGAATTGCATCCGAAAATGATGTTTATTTAATGTTAGATTTACGTTAAAATGGTCGGTTAGATTTCCATCATTTTGCTCATCCTTTTAACGAAAATTTAACGTCAGGAAATGACGTTAATCTAATGTAGAGTTTACGTCATTTTTACGTCATATTTACGTCATTTTCTGACGTAAATCTAACGTAAAGTTTACGTCATTTTCTGGCGTAAATCTAACATAAGTGACGTAAACTTTACGCAAAATTTACGTTAGATTTACGTCAGAAAATGACGTAAACTTTACGTTAGATTTACGTCAGAAAATGACGTAAATGTAACGTAAAAATGACGTAAACTTTACGTTAGATTAACGTCATTTCCTGACGTAAAATTATCGTTAAAATGATGAGCAAAATGATGGTAAACTGACTGACCATTTTTACGTAAATGTAACGTAAATTTAACATCATATTGTTATGTGGGGACAGGCTGTTCGCTAGAAATAAAGAGATTTTTTTCTATTTCCAGATGAAACCATATTTTTTTCTTATTTTCTCCCTGTTTTTTTATTGCATATTTATCCCCAGCCTCCTATCATTTCAGGTGCCAGGGTAATGTTTCATAGAGTGGAATGATTGACCTCAACACAAGTATTAAAAAAAAAAGAAGCAAAACAGGTGAGATAAATGTGCATTTCATACACTTTAAGAAGTACATCCAACCTGATCCCCACTTTTGCTCACTAATAGTAATGGGCTGGAAATTTGGTACTGCACAGGCCTGTCTTCTCCCCTTGACATTTAACTGAATGACAGAATTCCACATTTTGACCATTTTCTGGATGTCAATGACCGTTTCCCTGGATAGTATTCGCCCCAGAATTCTCATTCTCATCCAAATTTAACATTTCAGGTCTACATCTCAAAACCTGATGTCTTCCTGGACTGGCTTTAGGAGAACGATGATGCATATCAATTTCATCCCTGATCTCTATGACACCTGTGGTGGAAGTGGAGGGCAAATCGTAATCAGTTTGGGTTCCAGCCCCGAGGACCTCTGTAAACTTTGCTTTTTGGTGATGACTTAATTTCCGAGCTTGAAAAGGACGCCCGTGTGTTTATCATGGCCTCGCATATTGGAAGATAACATTAATGGCTTGTGTGTTGATCGACGGTTGTGCATATCTCTTGGTCAGGAAAGTTGTAGGCACCATCGCCATTGTAAATCATTTGACAGGCCCGAGTGAACAGGGCGACCTATGATTGGTCAGCAATGTATCGGATTCCATAATGGGGGGTGGGGATGAAAAAACTGTTGTAGTGTTACATAATCAGATTATTTCAACTTACTTATCCTGTGGAAATACAGCTATATAGGAGATATTTTGAAATTCATAGGCACTGCATGTTTCAACATTTTAGATTTGACCACAATTTGGCACTTGAAACTATGTTAACAGAGAAAAACTGTGTGGTTTTCGATGAAAGTGTTAAAAGTCTAATATTGCATCATGATTACTGTTTTAAAGTATTTTCGTGTTTGATTTATATGGAATTCATCTCATCTTTTTGAAGAATGCATTTATGTTCAAAAATAAAAATGTTCTGTGGAATTCAAAATTCATGTGCTTTTAAATTATCAGATTCCAAACTGGGGGGTGGGGATGAAAAAGCTGTTGTAGTGTTACATAATCAGATTATTTCAACTTACTTATCCTATGGAAATACAGCTATATAGGAGATATTTTAAAATTGATAGGCACTGCATGTTTCAACATTTTAGATTTGACCACAATTTGGCACTTGAAACTACGTTAACAGAGAAAAACTGTGTGGTTTTCGATGAAAGTGTTAAAAAGTCTAATATTGCATCATGATTACTGTTTTAAAGTATTTTCGTGTTTGATTTATATTGAATTTATCTCATCTTTTTACAGAATGCATTTATGTTCAAAAATAAAAATGTTCTGTTTAATTCAAAATTCATGTGCTTTTAAATTTCTGTCTGAAATTCCGCAGTTTTCTGATGTATTATAGTGTTTGCAGAATGCCGCACAGCTCATCTGAAAATGCATAGATTTTCATATTCTTTGGCCAGGGAATTGCATATATGTTTGTTTATTAGATAACAACAGATTTGTTTAAACTGCAGAAACATGTGAGGTATATAGGACTAAGACTAGTAATGTAGTGCGAGTTATAAATAGACAATTTTTCCCTTAATTTTTTTCTCCCCTCTTCCTGCATTTTTGGGTTGACTTTTTGGTCTAGAATTGGAGAAAAGGGATCAAATTTGCAATTTCATAGCAGTTTTGGGTAATACTGATGATATTACAGCGGAGGGATAGGGGGTGTAAAGTGTCTTTCTGCAGAGCAATCATTGTGTCGGAAGTGAGATTTTCACCCCTGTCAACTTCAAATCCGTGTAGCAAAAAATCTAAATGGTCAACCCCCTACAAAATTATGATGAGGAGATTGCCAAATGTTGTCCCCATTGTGCCTATAAAGATTGGAACCAACGGAATGTTGAGCAAAAAGCTACAGCCTGTGATGTTACAGTCATTTAACATTGAAGTCAATGGGCAAATAATTATACAGGAGTTATTCCCCATTAAGCATACTTTATAATGTATTGTGGAAGACTGTAAGGTCTAAGGTATATTACTGAACATCCCCCCCGCGAAAAGAAAAACAATGCCATTGTTTTCAATAGACCTGACAGTCTTTAACAAGACATTCAAATATAAAAACAAAACTAAAAAAATGAATGCAACTAGAATAAAGTACCAAAACCAAGAAACAAGATGGTAAAATATACATCTTAAATCATAATAAACCTGATCTAAATAACAGGGGGCGGTTTAGCTTTAATGGCCTGTTTGGCCTTAGCATTAAGAGCCGAGTCGGTTACCCAAAAAGACTCGTGGGCAGCTTCACCCTTTAAATGTACAAGATATTCCGCTTTGTTATTTTTAATCCTTTGGCCGATAACTTTCCTAATCTTGTAAAATCCATCACTGTCACTACCAATGGAACAGGAATTTAACCCACAATCAACATTACCACCACTTTCAGAACGATATCTTAAGGGTTTCTGATGGGTTCGCAGAGAACGGCGGACAGGGATATGTGACCCTTTACATGATTGTTGAGACGGTGGTTCTGAGACACGTAAATTATGTGGAGGTGTCGTTTCGTTTTGATTAAATCTTTTAAGTACCGGTACTGGGATTCGAGACAGTTTGTTGATTTTGGGCACATGAGTAACAACAGTACTAGGAAAATACGAGGAAGGATTGGGAATACGAACATAGGCCATTTTCAATCTATCCTTATGTACATTTTCAATCTATCCTTATGTACATTTGAGATAACTTTATTAGTAAGGGGGTCAATAATATCAACAATATGATCGCTATGCTGGGCTTTCACAACAAAGGGTCCCGTATAACGGGGCTGTAGTTTCTGACCAGTTCCAGTAGAAACAGTATTTAAATAGACGTAATCTCCCTTTTCTAAAGTCAAGGGATTGGATTTAGAATTAAAACGTTCACACATTTTAGCTTGATTTTGCAAAACACTAGACTGAAGTTGTTCTCGAATAATTTGAAGTTTTTGAACTTGTTTCTTTAAAAATGGCTTAATATCGGTAGAAGCGCGATCTATTACAGTAACTGAAGTGTTGGATTTAGAATTAAAACGTTCACACATTTTAGCTTGATTTTGCAAAACACTAGACTGAAGTTGTTCTGGAATAATTTGAAGTTTTTGAACTTGTTTCTTTAAAAATGGCTTAATATCGGTAGAAGCGCGATCTATTACAGTAACTGAAGTGTTGGCACTCAAGGGAAAATGTGGACGTCTGGCAAAAACAACCTCAAATGGAGAATAACCAGTTGAAGAATTAACACTATTGTTAAAAGCAAACACAATGGAACTTAAAACATCCTGCCATGTTGTGCGATTATGAGAAACATATGGCGATAACCGTTCAGCTAATGTACGATGGGACCGCTCACAGGCTCCAAGACAGTGGTGAACGAAACTGGGGGAAAATTGTTGGGGCACCTGTAGCAGTTCACACAAAGACTTTGTGCACTGATCAATAAACTCAGAGCCCCTATCACTAATTAAGGTATGACAGGTTCCAAACGTAGTAAATAATTGAAATAATGCTGTACTAACTGTCAGGGCATCAGAACTAGCGATAGGCACGGCATATAGGTATTTACTAAACATATCTATGGCAGTGAAAATATAAGAGTAGCCATTAGGTGTGACGGGTAATGGTCCAAACAAGTCGATTTCCCAAACAAGAAAGGGAGCTTGAGGCGTATGATATCCAATAATGCCACTTTTAGTGTGGGCTTTGGTAAGCTTGCGACGCTGACAATCATCACACGATTTCACATAATCATTAACAATTGAGCTCATTTTTGGAAAGTAGTATGTGTCTTTAAGACGATCAAGAGTGTCGTGAATACCGCCATGACCGCCTAAAGGAGAATCATGATAAAGTTCCAATAATTGCTTAATCAAAATGACCGGAACCACTAGTTGATATTTGTCTAATGTTTGAGCACGTTGTGATTTTGCTACTCTTGAATGAAATAAAACACCTTCAATTATAGCGTAATCTGTGGCTTCCAATAATAAACGCCGAGCTTGTTTCTGTGATGTCGGTAATATATACTATTCAAAAAAAGTAGGGGATATTTGATTTTTAAGTGTTATTAAAGTCACCTAATGAAACTGACGAAGAAACAAATGACAAAATGAAATGAAGTTCACATTCATCGATTTATTCCAAATGATCGTTAGACTAAGTAAGGCACAGACTGACCATTATAAGGGTAAAATGATACCCGGGGTCAAACAGCAAAGTTACCACAGCATCACAACCAAGTCAGTAACGGGTAAATCCTCCTCTGTTTGCCAAACAAGCATTGATCCGACGTGGCATACTCCTAATGAGACGTCTAAGGTCATTTTGGTCCAGATTGTCCCATTCCTGTTGCAACGCAGCAGCAAGTTCTCGGACATTGGCAGGACGTTGTTGACGTTGACGTAACCTCTGTCCAAGCATGTCCCAGACATGCTCGATGGGGGAGAGGTCGGGACTCAGTGCTGGCCAAGGTAATGTGGTGATGTTCTGTTGTTGGAGGTAACCTGTAACGATCCTGGCCCTGTGACATCTTGCGTTGTCATCCTGGAAGATGAAACGGCGGCCATGACGTCGTGCGAACGGCACAACATGGACTGCCAAGATGTTGTCCCGGTAGTACTGGCCTGTAACACGCCCTGCAACAACATGTAAAGCCGTTCTTCCAGCAACAGTGATGCCTCCCCACACCATAACAGAACCACCCCAAATCGATCATGTCTGATGACGTTAACGTCTTGGAAGCGCTCGTTTCGACGACGCCACACCCTCCTACGTCTGTCCAAAAAATCAACAGTGAACCTTGACTCATCTGAAAACATCACATTGCTCCAGCGTCGATTATCCCAGTGTTGACGATCCCTACACCAACGACGTCTTGCCTGAATGTGATGATCTCTCAAACAAGGGATCACGCGAGGACGTCGGGCGCGAAGGTGACCCCTATGCAGTCGATTCCGAATCGTCTGGCCACTCACTCTCACACCAGTGTCTGTTTGAAGACGAGCGCTGATCTGATTTGCTGTGATGACACGATTTCTCAAGGCCAAGGTACGGATAAATCGATCCTGGGCTTGAGTTGTCGCCCTTGGTCGACCTGAGCGTGGTCTGTCCTGTACAGATTGTGTATCACGGTATCTGGACCATAGCCTGCTTATGACAGACTGAGAAACATTCATCGTCCGCGCCACAACCGCCTGTGTTGTGCCGATCTGTAGCATGCCAAGGGCACGTAACCTTTCATTTTGGGTAAGCCGACGCATATCAAAATTTGTTTTCTGGTCACTAAAACAATTAAACTGATGTTTCCACCCTGGAATTCAATGCCACAATGACTAACATTCAAAGTCAGAGTCGTGCAAATCTTGGGTTGGACCCCCATGATGA